CCACGGCAGAAATGTATCTGTCCCAAAAGGTTAGAGAGCCAAGACCAAGAAATCTTGGTCAAGAGTTAGATTTCTCAGAGGCAGAGCACCTCATTTCTTCTTGAAAAATATTTCTCTCTAAAGGACTACCAAGAAATTTGAATAAACTTGTCTCCCTTAAATGTTTGAACGTTAATTTTTCATTTTCCAGAAGAACCACCTAAAGAATAATTCCAGTTCCCATATGCAAAAAATGTGTAACTTGGCATAACTACTACGATTCAGTATTTTAACATCTGTTCTCTAAATGAGAACCACTTCATTTTACTATCCAAAGGAGAGTAAAAAGCTATTATTTTTGTTAATGACCATGTGGAAACTGGTGATCTTAAGGAGAAAAATATGTTCAGAACTGAAAGGAAGAATCTAAGCTGCCTGTTCACTACCAGTCCCAGAGTCTAGACCACAGGTGGCAAACACAGGGCCCGTGGGCCAAATCCAGGCCTGCACCTTCTTTTATCCACCCAGCACCTGGTTTCTACCTGGTGGCAGCGCTGAGCTCCTTCCCCCTAGTTAAGGAGTAGTTACACAGTCCTAAAGTTACATTCACCCCTTTGAAGGCAATAGCGAGGTTGATGTGGCCCCTGGTAAAAGTGAGTTTAACACCCCTGTTCTACAGAAAGCTTGGCACATAGTTGACATTCAATAAAAATGCACTGGATGACTCTCACAGGTTCCTTATTTTCTCGTTCAAGCATCAGATGTCCTGGGTGATTCTGATGTTTGGCAAAAGACTTAGACTCTCAGGAACCCTACCACAAGCTTGAAGAATAGGAGACTGTCCCTCTGCTCTTTGTATTGGTCATCTGAGAAGATACAAAAATCAAGCCATGACCTGGTCAGCAGTTCTAAACATATTCCTCCTTCTAGAAGAATACGTTTATGTTAATGTTATATTATGTTATGACTCTAAAATCATTTTAATTTTAAAATAATTATTTTAATGAATTATATTAGAAGTTAACACTTCCTGGACCATGCACAGCTGTAACTTCTGGACTGGGTCTCAGGAGCCAGGTTTCGTATAAGAGTCTCTAGGGCCAGCAGCCAAGCCATGTCTTGAGAGGAGAAATGAGAAGTAGAGGAAACATCCCTGATGCAGCTTTGACCTGAGCATGGGGAAGTCTCTTTGATATTTTTCAGAATCACTTGCCTTGAGTCCAGCTGTGGCCACCTGGGCCTGACAGTCAGCTGACGAGTCCAAGAGTCACTGGTTTATGTTGTGGCTTCCTCTCGGAGCACGCAGTGTGCTCTGCTGTTGGGGCAGTGTTGCCCGTGAAGTCCCCGGTCTGCCACCAATGAAAGTGAAACTACCAAGACTCGATCTGCTTGGGGAGGAGAGGTGGCCAATCCCTCAAAGGAGAAGGGCCAAGAGCCCCTTCCTCAGTGGGCTTTTATTCGGTTCATTTGCACAAGAATACAGGTAAAGATCAAACAGTAGATATTATTCAAAGAACTATGAGGGCTTATTCTCAGTCAGGGTCAGATAGCTAAAGAGCCATAAAACTTTGAGGAACAAACTTCTTGCTTGGACCCTTATCATTTAAATGAGAGCATTCTAAACAAATCAGGTTTCACAGGATTTTACATATTCTTAGGCCTGATCACCCCAGATCGCTCTCTAGCCAGTAAAGGGCTGCACTGCCTTCCCCATCATAGGTTTTCAGACTTAAGTGGATTAGAGCCAGGAAGTGCTTCTCCAAGACCTAAGTGAGGACTCGGGCTATGTCAGAAAAGCCGGAGGGGGGAGGGTCCATTGCTCCCTCTTTGTCACAGCCCCCCAATGTCCTTCCATGATGGCCTCCCAAGTGATTGTGTCTGGCTTAGGTTGCCCCTCCTCTGAGGAGTCGTACCTGTCTCTGACTAACCGACCAAGCATTGGGGGCAGGGGAGGAAGCAGAGACAAGCTTTGTCTCCTTGTGGCTCGAATTCTGGAGGTCACTCATTCAGTCTTAGCCGTGGGGGACAATTACAACTCCTGAAACCAGGCAGGGTGGTTCCCAACACCCTGCCATGGTTTTTGTTGTGTCTGAGAAGTGTTTGGACTGTGGACAGAGCAGGCAAATTCCGTCCTTTGCAGTCATATCAAGCCTTTCTTTGTCTCTCAAGAAATCAGCTTGTTGGAGACACTACCTGCTTTCTAAAATTCTTTATCACGTGTTGCAAAACTCTGTCTGGAACCAAAATATCTTAATAGTATATGTGCATTTCTAGACATTATGACTCCACTAAAGCGTACGATGTTAAAAAGCAAGCATTTAACGTTTCCTGAAGGACTGAGATTAGGAAGTCACCCTCTCCAAACCCAGTTTTCCTTCCGTCTTTTTGGCCCCATCCATGCTCACTTATGCTTAATATTATAGTGAAGGATCACGTGCCTAAGCATTGTCGTGTAGAAAGGAATTGGCAGGATTTGTCAGGAAGCAGAGTTGTATTCGGTGAAAACACTTTACTTGTCTTGATGATCGACGGACGGAGTTACAAATTGTCCCCTGTTTCTAAAGGGGGGGGGTATATAAAATGCGGACATTTATATAAAGGGGGTATTCAGACAGAACATTTAAAATAACGGTCAGAAGGGAAAGCCAGACCATTCAGAGGAAAATGTGGAAACTAGTGACTGTGTTAACAGCTAGCACTTACTGAGTATATTACTATAGGTAACTTACATTTTTAAGAGTTTTCCATGTATTCACTCATACAGTTCTTACCACAACACTATTAAGGGAATACGTTTGTTATCCCCATTTTACTGCAGTGGAGAGATGAATAATTTGTCTGACATCTCCCAGCTAATAAGTGGTAGACTGGGATTGGATTTCGGGCAGCCTCTCGTAGAACCTGTGCCCTCACCTGGGACGTTGTGTTGCCTTCTAAACTCATGATGCCAGTGTTCCAAACTTCGAGGCAAACAAGGCAAGAATATTTGTTTTTTTTCCCAAGTGATAAATTCTTGGGAAAGGGGTTGGAGAGCTTATCACATGAGTGACATTATGTAACATGAAAAAATGTCATGAATTGATCTTTTTGTACGAGGTCCAACGGTGTTCTTCTCAGTGATATTTCTCACATGAACCCTCAGTAAAAGGGGTTTAAGAAGTAGCCCCACGAATCTGCAACTGTGGTCTGAAATCCGATTTCCTGAAGCGAACAGCGAACAGTGCTGAGGACTGGGCGTGATTGCTGCCCTTGATCCCTGTTTTACCTGCATCTGTAACAGTCTGCCTCATCGTGTTTGCCGATGCGCTGACCTTTGTGACCTCTGACCCCTCTGCCACAGTGACAGCGTGACAGGCTCCCCGAAGCAGGTGTGGCATGACTTCACACGTGAGCAAATCTTCTAAAGGCAAAGAGTTCCGAAGAAACTTGGATTAACTTGTCTCCCTTAAATGTTTAAATCTCAATTTTTCATTTTCCAGAACAACCACCCAAAGAATAATTCAAGTTCCCATATGCTGTGACTTGCAAGAAAAATGTATAACTTGGCACAACTATTATGATTTGGTATTTTAACATCGTTTTCTAGAAATGAGGACAGCCTCATTTTACTATCCAAAGGAGAGTAAAAACTAGTTTTATTGATGACCATGGGGAAATTGGTGATCTTAAGGAGAAAAAAATATGCTCTGGCACAGAAAGGAAAAATCTAGGCTGCACGCGCCTGCTTACTACCATTCCCAAGAACAAGTTCCTCAAAGTGTGTGCATCATGACTGCAAATTATACCTATGAAAATCATTGTTCTTAAGCGTTACTGGCAGAGTGACCTTGACTGGAGTTGAAGAGGCAGCGTGTTGACTCTGGGCCTTGTTGTTTATTTCTTCTTTACAAACTCTGATGTCAGGGTCAGTCCCCGAAGTTGTGTTAGGCAAGATCCACACAAACCCCAACCAAGCAGATGGCCAAGGCCTTGGTGTAGTGGGAAAAGTCAGAGGACAGAACGGAAGGCTGCTTCCAGTCACCAGTCTGTAACCCGGGGCTTAAAGATGAAACATTCCTGCAGCACAGGCGACTTTTCGTCAGGAGTCACAGCACCTAAGTGCAGCTGCTGGCCTCCCACCACCGCGTGCCTCCTGCTCCTGGAAGCAAGGCCTCCCGTGGACTCAGCGCTGGACCGCACCCAGTGCTGTTTTGGGGCTCAGCAAACGCCACTCTGAGGCCTCGCGTGTTCAACCTTCTCTGGCCTTCCTCGATTGTACTGTTTCAGGCCTGCGGGCAGCATGCGAGGGAAAGGATGGTGCTCCACCCATGTTCAGCTCAAGGAAAAGAACACCACATTAATCCAGAAACGAGTGGGTAGGCCAGGGCCAGTGAGCCCAACTGAACCCAAAAGTTATTTGCTCCAATAATGTTTCTTATGTAAAACTGAAACACTAATTACATCATAAAAAATTGACAGCTGTCCTAAGCTTTGGTGTAACAAGTTATAAGGCCACTCCTAGCCTTATCATTTACATTCTTATAATCCTGAATTCTCTTTATTTCCACCATGCAGCACGCTACACCACACCTTGGACCTCTGTTCTCCCTCTCTCTTACTTGGCTCAGAACACCCTCACCACAGCCCTTCTTTGTGTTCCAGGTTCACCTCTGTTGCCACCTTCTTGAAATTTCCAGACCCTGCTCTGCACCCGCCCTGTGTCCCTTTTGTTTTACCACTTGCGATGTGATGTGTAACAATCTCTTGAAGTGTCAGGTTCCTGCATTAGACGACGGGAAATTCCTTGAGGGCGGGAGCCATGTTTTACTCATTTCTTGTCCACAGTTCCCGGCATAAAGTCAAGCAAGTGCAGTGAGCTAAATGAATATTGATTCCACCTACAGTGTTGCCAGTAAACCATGATGCTATCATTCTCTGTAGCCTTCCACACTCAAAATTCTGCAGGCACTGAAAATATTTTAAATGACTGCATCTTAAAACTTCTAAGAATGTAATCTTTCATTACTTCTCTTCCTTTTCAGGAACCTCTTTCTGGAGCCGTGAAAGACGAAGGGAAGAATCATGTCCATGATTGCAGCCTTCTATAGTGGCAAGTCCATTCTCATTACTGGGGCCACAGGCTTCCTGGGCAAAGTGTTGATGGAGAAGCTCTTTCGCACCAGCCCTGACCTGAAAGTCATTTACATCCTTATGAGGCCCAAGGCTGGCCAGACACTGCAGCAGAGGGTTGTCCAGATCTTAAATAGTAAGGTATGGCTTACGGAAGAGATGCAGGGTGGGGCGACTCTCAACTGTGCTCCCTTACAGCCTCACACTGCAAGTGAGGGCGGGGTGTCTGGGCAGATGGAGGACAGGAGAAGAGACAAGATAGCGACCAACTGCCCCTGGGACCCTGCTGTGTGTTCCCACAAGGGAGAGAAGAGTTGCTTAGGCTCTGCCTCAGGGCAAGCGAGCAGATAATCTGTGTTCTGGAAGTTACCGAGTAAGAATCAAAATGCCTCAGGCTGACCTAAGGTGTGTGGGTTTTTTTTTTTTTCTTACTGTTTTATTTTTAGACAGAAGGGAAAGGAGGGAGGGAGAGGGAGTGAAACATCAATGTATGGTTGCCTTTTTTGCACCCCTCAACAGGGACCTGGCCTGCAGTCCAGGCATGTGCCCTGAGTGGGAATTGAACCAGTGATCCTTTGGTTCGCAGGCCTGTGCTCAATCCACTGAGCCACACCAGCCAGGGCAGGTGTGTGGGTTCTTGACTGTGTGTAGGAAAGACTTCACAACACGAGTCCAGGTCATTTTGAGGGTGTGCGTATTAAGGCTGGGAACAAGGAAACGAAGGAAGGGCTTAGGGTAGAGGAAGTGACCGGAGAGAGCCTAGGCAGTGCTCTGCTTTGGCTCCCTGGGAACATTAAAGGAAAGAAGTGAGCACAGGTGGCTCACTGGGAAGTCTGAGAAAAAGGGGGCCTTGGAGACAAGATCGGGGGTAAGCCCCGGTCGAACTGCCTCGGCCTGATGCTCCCCTGGCTGCAAGTCTCATGGGGACCCTCAGAGTTTAGGAGGAAGTCAAAAGTTCGTGCCCAGGAAGGGGCATGGGCGTGCTCTAGAGCAAGCTTGTGCTGTGTCTTTGTTCTGAGGGCTTTTTATCTTTCTTCTGCAGGTGAGAATCTTAGGGAAAAGTTTGGGATTACTCTTTGGTCTGCTCTACTGTTTTACTTTTACCTTGGGTTTGTCTGGCTTTTAATGAGGTTTTTGTGTTTTGTTCCCCTGACTTTCTCTCTTCTTGGATTTAGCTGGCACAAATGACATTAATTGGGTCTCTGTTACCTATTTCCCAGACGGGGTGATTTAAGCTATGTAGTCTTTGGTTAGGAAGGAAAGGTATAAACCATTTGCTCTCCAGCCCTTGGTTAGGAGAGATAAGTTCTTGTGATTCACCAGCTGGCTGTAAGTTGTTCAAACTGTTCGGCCCTGTTGTCTCAGTTTCCCCATCCCACTTGCCCAGGAATTTTCCTAGCTTCTCACTGTCCTGCCTCACTCCCACAAGGTCATCTGAACTTTTCCCTTATTGGCTTCTAAATTTAAGGTAATTTTACCCTACATTTTTAAAATATTTTTACATTACATTATATTATATTATAATTATATTATATCAAACAACTATGTTTACTAAGGAGCCATGAAGTAATACTTACAGTTATTTAAACTCTACAAGGTTATATACCTTATACTTATTACTTGTTATTTACTTTATCTATGGTAACTTAATATTTCTATTATCCCCTTATATTTCTATTATCTCATAAGTTGTTCTAAAGAAAAAAACATAAAAAATTAATATTATACATGTGAATAAGCATTTGTATATCAAACCCTCTCTTTCCTCAAAAAAATATTACGTATGTCCTCTCATGGTCTAATTTACACCTTTGAAGGCAGTAGGTATAGGCTTCAGTCTCAAACACATGTTGGCACAAATTCTGGCTGATCAGTTTGTTATCATTCTACCTCTTAAGCTCCAGTTTGCAATATTTAAGATAGAAATAATGATGACAGCCATCCAGGATTGCCTTAAAATTAAATTTAAAAAATGGAAATATCTGGTTCATAGTGCCTTTTGGGATATTCAGGGTCACTTAGAGTTGGCGAAAAGGAAAATTTAAGTAGGATATTTTTTGATAGAGTCTTCTTTCCAGAGTGTAGGAATACTAACATCTAATGTGTATCTGAGAGAGCCACACATCATAGATGCCCAGTAGACCTCAAGTTCACATTCATTTGCAGACACCAGGATGAGATGTAGGTACAAACATCAGGAGCATCAGGAAAGCTTCTCCTGCGTCTCATGTGCTGGCTCAGCCAAGGACAATCACAGCTTAGTTCCATAGTGCACAGCAGACACTAATTTAAAGGGTTTTTCATGCCTTTACCTCATTGATTTTTGAAATGACCTTGTAAAGGAAGAACAATTAATATCCTCATTTTATAGACAGCAAAGCTGAGATCTGAAGTGTTGCCTTAGCAGAGGTCACCCAGCTTGTCAATGGAGCAGTCAGACTGTAGACCCCCACAGTCTGGGTCCAGGGCCAGCACGCTTATTCCCACCCCAATACTGCCCGCATTGTAACTAACGGTTCATAGGAATAAGACCCAAAGCCTGATGTGGCATCAAATAGGAATCTAGAAGGAAGTCTCAGATGTCTCCGTTATCTAACCCTAATGGGCTTCCATCACCTGGTAGACAAGGCTCTGCAGTTTGGTAGCCAGTCTGTGGATTTCTAACCCATTTAAGGAATCCAGTGTTCTTGACAGTGGATCAAGAATACCAGAAATGCAAGGCTTGGATATTTTTCTTTAAAACATAATAAATAAAAATGTTACTGGTTTGCCTTTGACTCCCACTATGTCATCAGGAAATATGGCCAAGAGAACATCTGTTTTATCAAAACTTAGATGTCTGCCTCATTCCTTTCCTTCTTGGTAGGAAATAGCTACCACCTCCCACGTATCAAGCTCTCGGAGAGAGACAACTAAGAGGGAGAAGCCTGGGAAAGAAGGGTGTTTTTAATCTGCTGGTCACATAAAATGGGGGCTCAAGAATCAGAAGAGAGGATCCATTTCATCACAGATGACACGTTTCTTAAGTATTTTCAGAGAACTCAAAGGACTATATCAATGGAGTGAAAAGTACCTGAATTACTGACAGATTTTTGAGGACTTCCTCTTAAAGATAATTAAGGTGTTACTGTAAGAAAACAACCAGAGACACACACAAATACTACACAAATATATTTGTAGTAGTGTTATTTATAGTAGCAGAAAGAGCTAGGACCGATCTGAATGGGCCCACTGTAGAGGAATAATTAAATAAAAAATAATACAAACTTGTGATAAAGTATTACACAGGCATTGAAACTTATACTTTATAAAATATTAAGTGATAAGAGAAAATGCTTATATTCAATGCAAAAAAAAAAACCAGACAAAACCACGTGCAGTATAATCTCAACTAATGCCCTTAAATGCCAGTGGGATCTTAGGTTGGTTTTATTTTTGGCACTTCCAATTTTTTTATTTAATTACTTGAGAGAGCAGGGAAGGGAAAGACAAAGAGAGGGAGAAAAACAGTGTTAGAGAGAAACGTCAACTGGTTGTCTTCCTTACACGCCCCAGACTGGACAAACCCTCAACCTAGACACCTGCCCTGACCAGGATTTCAACCGGCAACCTTTGCGGTTTGCACAAAAGGCCCAACCCACTGAGCCACACCAGTCAGGGCTTCCAAACGTTTACATTACCATTATAATGAACATGTTTACTTTATGATAAAAAAAAAAGAGCCCTTTTCAAAGTGAAAGAAATAAAAAATAATAATCTTTTCCCAAAGTTTTCCAAATGTAATTACAATGAACGTGTTTCACTTTTATACCGCTGGGGAGGGGGGACACTTTTTAAAATAGTAAATAAATAAGACAGGGAGCACAATGAAAAGCTTCCCAAGTGATGTCATTAGACATAAATTCAGTTCATTTTTAGTTTTGAGGCTGTTTATCAAAATTAAATAGTTTGACTCATTTTTATTAGAAATATAATTACAAGTGTTCAACATTGTGTTTTAAAAATGTTTTTGCTTCTTTCACCAAATCTGAGAAGCTTCTGAAGCCAATAGGCCAGGTCTCGTGTGCCACGGGGCGCTCGCACTCACCACAGCCTCCTGCTTTTCCACAGGAGGGGTGGGGAGGAGCGGGGTGGGGAAGCGTGCCCCGGGGGCCCCAGCCCGCCGCTTCGCCTCTTACTTATGAAAAATGTGCCCGTGCAATGTGAACAAACCAGATTTCCATCTTAACCGAAACAGTCTCACATAGAGAAATCGATATTTTATCTGTTGTGCTACCTTAAATGTGGCTTGGCTATGCACACCAGGGATGTTTTCCCCGATATCACAGATAAGTAGTGGCCAATAAATCCTGCAGTTGTGAAGTTCAAAGACGTCTTGAGAGTATTTTGAGGTTCCTTAGTGCTTAAAAATGTGGTGGTGTTTTGTCTGTTTTTTTTTCCACACGAAAAATACACAATCACATTGCACGTACGTCTGTTTAGGACCTTAAATTGGATGTAATCTACTCTGAATAACTCTTTAAGAAAACACAATCCATACCTGAAAAACAAACCTCAAATAGCTGGAATCACATTAAGAGTGAGGTAGTTAATTAAGAGTGATTGTGATGCCAGAATCTTAAAAAAAAATGTCTCATTCAGAGACCAGCAGAAATGATGGGCTTTTCCTAGTAAGCTGTAGTCATCAGAGCACGGAGGGGTTCCCGGGAGATTGTGCTGGGTTTAGGACGCATGGTCAGAGAAGGCCAGATTCAAGATTTCCAGGGAGGGCTTGTTCTGCATGGTATAGCCAGAAAGTGGATTTATAAGCAAAGGCAGAGTTTGGCAGGTTGCACTGGATATTTCAAGTCAACGTCTCTGGAAAAATGTGAATTATTCAGTAAAAGCCTTCAGTTGGCCCTGAGTTAAACCAACTTTGAAATACTCTGGAGAGCTTTCCAGGATGAATCATGCAGGGCCACACACTGGGCCCCAAACCACAGAACTGATTATGTTTAAGACAATAGAAGATAATAAAACTTAATGAAGTATTGAATTGAATTCTTTTACAAGACTATCACTGTTCAGTAGTCTCTAGAAAGCATTAGATAAATTAATCCCTGAGAGGAAAAATAATGCATTTAAACAAATCAACTTTGAAC